TGACTGGGCGCGAGCCTGCAGCAGGTGCAGTGGGGCTGGCATGAGCAGGAGCGGCATGTAGGAGTTGGACTGCGGGTTTTGGCCTGATCCCTCCTGATCACCCAGACGCACCCCACCCATGCACAAATTCATGCACTGTGCTTCTAGTTACATTATAACAGAGTAGGCCCTGAAAAAGCTCTTAATTCTCTTACCTTTAAAAATTCAACAGTCCAATTTTTAATATTGACCTTGTCAGTCTAATTTCCAAATATGACATCCCTGATTACAGGCAGCCTACCTATCAAGAAATTCTCTGCATTTAGTACTCAGAAATTTACATTCAAGTGTTTTGTTCATTTGCTGATAATCAGTTATTCTGGGCTATTTATGAGAAGTTTATATTTTATTTTGTTAAATATATTTTTATTGATTTCAGAAAGGAAGGGAAAGGGAGAGAGAGATAGAAACATCAATGATGAGAGAGAATCATTGATTGGCCATCTCCTACATGGCCCCTATGGGGGATCGAGCCCACAACCTGGGCATGTGCCCCAACCTGGAATTGAATTGTGACCTCCTGGTTCATAGGTGGTTGCTCAGCCACTGAGCTACACCAGCTGGTCTGAGAAGTCTGTATTTTCAAATTTATCTGAGGACTTAAAGCACAAATAAATTAAGAATTATGATTGCTTTTCATTCTAAGAATATATTAATGTGCCATTTTTATGATTATTAGCCTTTCAGAGTGAACCTACTTTAAAATATGCCTAACAATATCTAATGTATCTATATAGACATAGTATTTCATAAATACATTGATAATTGTGATCTACATCAGATAAAAATATATATACAATATAACTAGCATCAAACAAAATGTTTTATGAAGAGCCTTTCAATGCTCATAATCTATTAACTTAAATAGAAATGTATTTGAAAGTTTTGAATGATTGAGATATTTATATGAAATTAAATATACATGATCTTTATGGATGACTATTTAGTGCAGCCGAGGGCAGACTACAGCCCGCGGGCCGGATCCGGTCCGTTTGAAATGAATAAAACTAAAAAAAAAAAAAAAAAAGACCGCACCCTTTTATGTAATGATGTTTACTTTGAATTTATATTAGTTCACACAAGCACTCCATCCATGCTTTTGTTCCGGCCCTCCGGTCCAGTTTAAGAACCCATTGTGGCCCTCGAGTCAAAAAGTTTGCCCACTCCTGATTTAGTGAGTGCTTATGACATCAGCTTGCAGTGCCTTTCTTGAAAGAGCAGTAGATCTTAATGCAAATTATTTATTTTTTCATTATTTAAAATTATAATAGACCAAAACCTTTCAGTGCTAATGATTGCATCACCAATTATAATTTTGCCCAAAGACAATTTGGGCAAAATTATAATTTGTGCATTAATTAAAATATAATTGAATAACTTAAGAGTTTATTAGTTTATTACTATTACTAAAATGATTATTTGGTTAAAGCAAAAAGCTAATTTTGCATTAATTATAATCAGTTCATTGTACAAAAGTATACATAAGGGGGCACAATGTACCTGCTGTTACTGAAAAGAGTGCTTTATTTTTAAGTGCCCCATAAATATTTCCCACATCTTTGTTAATATATGCACATTCAACTTAGAATCATAAGTATGTAAATTACTTGTAAAATAAACAATGTTAAGTTTTAAAACATGGTGTAAATATAATTTATTTATTTTAATTAATTTAACAGATAGTCTTAGGCTAATTTTTTTCTCACTTAAAGAAAATGTAGATAATTGATAATAACACAAATTATTTAATATGTGATAAATATATGAAATATTTAAATGTCGATAATATGTATAAAAGAAATGCATTGTTAAGATGTTTTAAAGTAATCAAAACCAAGAAGCAATTTTACTTCCTAATAATCAAAATTATTATAACACAACTTGTATAATTAAACAAATTATTTAAAAATAATATAACAACCTAGATAAAAAGAGTAATAAACCAATCTAGAAGATAATATAGAAGAATTGATCAATGTATTGGTTAAAAATACTTCAAATGACAAATATTGTATTACTAACAATAGAAGACTATAAGATAAAATTATATGAATTATATTAAACACTTCTCTTTTAAAAAAAATAATGAGCATTTGATGTGCTAATATACTTTTGAATTGATTGAGTACCTCTATTTTTAAATATATATAATTATTTAATTTAACTTATACGTTAAATGAAGTAAATTTAGTAACACTTAAATTAAGAATACATTTAATAATATAATTTTTATCTAAATGCTAGTTAGGTTAGAGCTTAGGATAACCTGCATATTTTCCACACATATTGCAACTTAAATCTCTTAATAATAATGACTATTAATGTGATATCATAAAAATATTTGAAAAATAATTGTGAATACTATATTATTGCCAGAGTTTGCTTACAGATTGAACCCCACATGTTTTATATAACTTCTTCAATGTCAATTGTTCCTTCCTATGCTATTCCTATGTAGTTTTAGTGTATTAGTTCAAAGTCAGTGTCCACATTTTAATATTGTTACCAGGGTAGAAATAGAGCCTTCTTTTTCGGGAATCCTTTCAATAATGCACATTTATATGCATATTTATCTAGATAATACAACTTAAGTTAAAAATCACAAGGAAGAGAAATACACTAATTTTGTTTTTTTGTTGATCTCTTTTTTTGTAAAATTCATTTATTTTTTTATTGCTTAAAGTATTACAAAGGAATCCTTTCAATAATACACATTTATATGTGTATTTATCTAGATAATACAACCTAAGTTAAAAATCACAAGGAAGAGAAATGCACTAATTTTTTTTTTTGGTTCATCTCTTTTTTTTAAAAGTTTATTTTTTTATTGCTTAAAGTATTACAAAGAGTATAACATAGGTCTCCTTTTATTCCCCCCGCCCTTGACAACTTGTATGCATGCATATAAGCATAACCAATGGACACAAGACACTGGCGGGTAGGGGAGGCCAGGGGAATTTTAACAAGTGCCAAAAAAAAAATAATTCATTAGTATTAATAGTATTAAATGATATGTCAGGGTTATCTAAGGCTCTTTGTCTATATATTCAACTACTTAAAATAATCAGTATCAATATTAAACTAAAATTATTTTTCATTAAAAAAATTGAGTAAAATACCATCAAATGTAATGAATTTTAATACGTAAACTGATAGCAAATTAATATGGCACAACATAATCAGATGTCTAGTTCATGAACCTTGAAATTATCAATTAGCCTATATAATAAAAGCCAAATATGAAATACTTTGAATTTCCTAGTTGCAACAAATAATATGTACCCAAGGTAATCTTACTTCCTTTCAAAAAGTCAATCAGAAAAGCATATCTCATTTCAGATCTTAGAAATATATACTACATTAAGATTAATTTCCACTCAATATAATTGTGAATCATATAAAACAGAGCATTTATCAACCAGTTAAAGGAAGTTGTATTTTTGTTGTTGTTAATACCCACCCTAGGATATTTTTCCACTGACTTTTAGGGAGAGAGGGAGAGGGAAAGGCAGAGAGAAACATCAATGTGAGAGAAACACATCAATTGCCAGGACCCTTTGGTCTGCAGGCTGCAGGCTGATGCTCTATCCACTGAGCCAAACCCGCTAGGGCAGAAGTTGTATTTTTGAACTGCTTATATTTGCTTTATTTCTTTAAAAGATTACTGAAAGAAATAAATAAGGACAAAAGAAGAATACCCAAGCTTTCTTAGAAATATGAATTCTTAATTTTCTAATCATGAAAGTTTGTAATCTATCTACCAGACTATCACTTTTAAATGCATAAATACATGTTTCCAATAAAGGCAGATTACTATACCTGTGTGCGGGTATCTTGCGGTTCCCAACAATCAAGATAACATCACAGAGCTGCTGTTGTTTCAAGTAACTTTCCATTTTCCTGAAGGTTTGCTCAGCATGGTGAACGGCCTGATAGAATTCTTCAGAGCTGCTGGAGTCCAAATCACTTTGAGGTGTCAATGAATGGCTCGTGGCTGACAGCCTGCAAACCACACACAAAAATGTTGGTGTTATAAGGCCCACAAATTGTCCAGAACTACGTTCAGAGTTTTAAAAATGTACAAAGAAAATCAATGACTCTCTCTTTATCTTCTTCATTATTAATATGTTAAAAAAATTCGTTTTGACCCTAACTGGTTTGGGCCAAATTTCTCAGTGGATAGTGTTGGCCTGAAGACCAAAGGGTCCTGGGTTCGATTCCAGTCAGGGGCACATACTTTAGTAGCAGGCTCCTCCCTGGCCTGGCCCTGATCAGGGCTCTTGCAGGAAGCAACCAATTGATGTGCTTCTCTCACATCAGTGTTTCCCTCTCTCTTCTACTCTCCCTAAAAATCAATGAAAAATTTCCTTCTGGTGAAGATTAACAAAACAACAAAAATGTCTATTTTGGGTTAAATGATTTTCTTCAGGAAGCAGTAAATAAATTATAAATTATCTGTGTTTTTGTCTTTAAAAAGATTTAAAAGATAGGTTATCTGTATTTATAATAACATAAAGTTAGTAAACCTGAAAAAGTCCCAAACATAGTTTAATACAAACAAGCCTAGTCTAAAATTAATTACTAATAAATAAGATGTTACTTTATTCCATTTGATATTGAAGTAGATCATCTTATACTATTTTAAATTATGATTCTTGTGAGGTATGGTAAATGTTGCTTTACAGAAATAGGTGAATTTTATTATGAGAAATTATGAAATATAGTTCATTAAAGATTAACAGTAAATTATAAATTACTCTTTCATATTCTGTACCTAACTGGTTAAACAAAAATATGCAATAATACAGAATGTATTACTTCAGTTACTTATGTTTTAATCATCAGTAACAAACTTCAGGATTTCAAAAAGTTCATGATACTTAATTATGGCTACTATATCTATGAATAGATATAGTAGACTGTTCCATGATGAGGACATTTCAGTATCCTGAGATGTATGATGTGCCCACCACAACCATCAAGAATAATGAATAATGAAATGGCTTATTTCAAGATAGAGGGTAATATGGAATATTCTGCTTCCAATTACGATGCAATAACTTGTAGCTGACTAGATCCTTCACCAAGCACACCAGAAACAGAGTTACATATAATATCAAAATAATTATGTGTGTTTAATAATAGCTACTAAAGCAGCTATGCCAGGATCCTCTAGTAAAGGCGAATTCATGGAAGTCAGCTCATTAGTCTGTGCTGGCCCCACTCCCTAGGTATTTACTAATTATAAGCAGCATAGGGTGAATATGAGAATATTATGAATATAATGTAGCAGCTAAACACAACTTTTGTTAGTGTCATGAGGTTTGGGGAAAATAATGGATATTGGAATTGTGGGTTCCAAAGTTAGCCAGAAAGGTAAGTGGGGGGGTGGGGGGAGCTGGCATAAAGGAGGGAAGATTAGGTAAGGCTCTCATGGGGAACCATGTTTTCTCTGGAGGTAATTGCTGATTCCTAAGCCATGCTAGACAGCAGAAAATGGCTTATAGAAAGCAGGGGAGTTAAGCAGAGCTTGAAAAATAAACATCTGAATTTAAGGACCAACAGGGAAAAGGGACTGTGATAAATACACAGGCTTGCACCTAGACTTCCTAAGGGCTGTATCCTAGGGGTTAAGGAAACTGGAAAAAGATAAGATAATACAGAGACTGAAACTTAGATTTAAATCAGTAAAATCTCTAATTGCAATGAGGTAATTTTCTAATCTAAATGTCAGAAAACAGTCAAAATACATTCTTTTTAGGAAAAGATAACCTCATCCGGACTCTATGATTTCTTTTGCACATATATGATGCTTGCCATTAAAGAAAAAGAATAGCAGGCCTATAAAGAAACAGGACCTAGGGAGAATTAACAGAGAATATAAACAGGCTCCCAGGTGCTGCAGGAATCTCTGCATGGGTCATAATTACGTACTTAATAGATGTGAAAATAACTGTCATTAATATATTTTAGTATAGGTGACAAGCTCAAGATTTTCACAAGACATTATGTTATATGAAAAAATCAAATGGAAATAAATAAGAAAATATAATACTATAATTTGAGATTTTGGAAGATGAATGAATTTGCAGTCTGGATGCATATGAAGGAGACAAAGTGATCTAAAAATATTTAAACTAAAATATTGAGATAAAAAGCTAAAAAAGTATTTTCAGAAACATAAAACATGGTATGAAATTATAATATTCATATAACTATAACTGTCAAAGTAGGGGAGAAGCATGATGAGGCAAATGTCATTTGAAGAAAGAATGATCAAAAGTTGTAAAAAATGTATTAAAGACACAAATTCCAAGATAAAATGAAGAAAACTACACATCATAATAAAACCAAAGCAATAAACAGTAACAACAAAGCAAACAAAAATTCTTCTTTCTTAGAACTTGTCAAAGAACAGAAAAAGAACTTGTCCCCAATTCATTAAATGAGGCAAATATAACATGGATGCAAAACCTAAAAAGGTTGTTACAAGGAAGGAAAATTAATGGTCATTCTCTGTCCTAAATATATTTGCAAACATCCTAAACCAAATATTAGCAATCAAATACAGAAATGTACATGAAAAAAGATATCCTATATAATAAAAGCCTAATATGCAAATTTACCAGATGGTGGAATGACCGGTGGAATGACCCGTTGCTATGATGCACACTGACCACCAGGTGGCAGACAATCAATGCAGGACCTGCCCCCAGCCCGCAGGCCCCAGGCCAGCCAAGGCAGGTGCCAGCAGGGTCTCCCCCACCCCCCCCAATTGCCCCACAATTCGCCCCACAGATTGGGCCCTACCCATGCATGAATTTCATGCACTGGGTCCCCCCCCCCGCCCAATTGCCCCACAATTTGCCCCACAGATTGGACCCTACCCATGCATCATGAATTTCATGCACTGGGCCTCTGGTGTATATATAAAGAGGTCTGGCCTCTAATGTTAGGCTGACAATAACATCAAAGCCTCCTAGAGAGTAGAGTTGGTGCTTCATCGCCATTAGGATTGGCTAGATGTTACAGCCCCAAATCTTTAGTGGCTTTGCTTAAAGAAGGTATCTTTCTTGTTCATACGACATGTCCACCCTGCTTCTCCTAGGACCAGAATAAAGGAGGTGCCACCATGTAGATGCAACAAGAGCAGCAGAGTTCTCCCACAGATTAACACATTGAATAGAAAAGTCACAAAATTCCCTGCAGGATGCATTTAAAAATCTAGAATGAACATATTATTATTGGTTCTCAGGGAACTAAAGAGAATCAAGTCGGGGGTATCTATTGCCAAATAGATTAGAACTGTCCCATTGAGATCTGATATTTCTTGTCTGGTACCAGATTTCATGAATAAGGTCTAAAAACCAAGATATTAGAGACTGCCCTGAAGAGTAGCTCCAGGCTGGTTTAAAGGAGATTAGTGTAAAGGATCCATTCATATATTTATGTTCATCTCTTACAAGGTACATAACATACCTAGGGCAGAAAATTTTACACCTCACTAAGAGTTTTATACCTGGGAAATGTTATCAAGATAATACTTCAATATACTTTTTTTTTTCCAAGTTACCCAATTTCTGTTGGGTGAAATATTAGCACAAATAGGGAAAAAATAGAATAATACATTTTTAGAGTTTGGTTGAGACCATAGATATAACATGAACAGGACATAGAATTTGACAGTACTAACAGTCTAAAAGCTAATTACTGTCAAGATAGCACCATCTTTTATTTTATTTACTTTTTAATATATATTTTTATTGGTTTCAGAGAGGGAGGGAGAGATAGAAACATCAATGATGAGAGAGAATTATTGATCAGCTGCCTCCTATATGCCTCCTACTGGGAATCCAACCATGACTTCCTGTTTCATAGGTTGATGCTCAACCACTGAGGCACACCTGTCAGGCAGCACCTCCTTTTATGTAATCTAGTTACCCTAATAATTATTGGCTATAATATGGGCTTTCCTGAAAATGTTAAAAGTAATTCGAAAGAATAAATCTTAAAAGAACAGAGAGCTAGAAACTGGCTTTCAAACTATTTCTTTGCAGAGTTCATGTTCAATCCTAAATTTTTCCCCCTTAAATTTCTTACGCTTTGAGTTTCTCTATATTATAACTGAAAATAAGTCACTTTCCTTGAAGACTGGTTGATCTGTCAGAGATTTGACTTGATTTTCTCCCCATAAAGCCATTGTCACAGTACATGCACATTTCCTCATAAATCATTTCCTGATCTCAGGATTGAGTTGTCCTTAACCTTTGACCTCAGGATTTGAAAAGGAGTTTTCACATCAGAACACTAATGGTTTTTATGCTGAGGTTCATTATTTAAAATTCTTCATATCACATTCCACCCTTATTAGTTCAACACATGGGATCTTAAAATTTTAGGAAATAGGTTAGATCTTTATAGTGGGTCCTGTAAGTACTAAGTAAAATCTGACATTGGATTATTTCTATTATTGTCTAATTTTTATATCTTCATTAACTTAACCATACGGTCACTTTCTAATCTAAGAATCTCAGATGGTATAATGTGACACTGTAAGATTCATATAACATGACGTTGTTATTGCCACTCAATAACATAAATCTTCAAGTTACAAGAAATGTAATTTAAAAAGTTCAATATGATCTCGTCATATCAGAATTTAAACTTGCTAAAGGCTCCCCCAAACTAAGACATATAAAACGATAAAATTAGTAAAATGTTTTCTTGACCTCATGGACTACTCAAGCCATAGCGATTCCTCTCTATTTTCTTGTATAACCAGCTGTTTTGCAAGTGTGGTCTGCACTCATTATATTAACTCCTGATTCTCTGAACACTCTTCAATCCATTTCAATGTTACTTCCCCAACCACCCATCTAATAAAATTGCTTTGGCCAAGTGCACTAGTATTTTTTCTTGTGACTTAGTTTAGCTTTCATTTTAATTTATGACCTTAATTACTGAGAACTGACCAACATACTTTCCTGTTTCTGGTTTAAACAATTGAGGACTAAACATCATTTACTTTCCCTGTACCAAACAAGTTGGAGGTGAAGCATATTTTCCTATTCTTGCGCTAAACATATTGAGATTAGGAAGAAGTGATTTAGGTCTTGCATCAGGAAATAGTTACTTGTAGAAGGTAAGACTGTGAATTAACTTTTAAAAAGCTATAAAAACCAATAGTTATTCATCTGTTTGCACTTTAAAACACTCACCTATGTGCCAATCTAAAGCTATTACATCATAAATTCCTGGTTCCAATTCCATATCATGTGTTATTTCTTATATAATTCAAAACTTTTTCAACTTTTAATACCCTTTCAATCAATTTTTAATTCTAGCCACACTAAATAATTCCATTTTCTGGAACATCACATTAGAGATTTCATACACATATTTTTCTTTTTCTATGATTTTTACAACACATTATCCTTATGGATAACTTGCTTTAAACCTCAGAGATCAGTTTAAATATAACTTCTTTCAGAAAAGATTTCTTTTAATCCTCATAGCTTGAATGGGAGGAAGCGTTGTTACCCTGACATGCTAATTACCCAGTATGGTTTAAATACATTGATGGCTTGTAGAATATTTTAGGAATATAACATCTATTTATTAAATAAATGAGTGAAGAATATTTTATGAAATGATGGTCTGGGCTAAGTACCAATATTAACGTATTATGATTTGTTTTGTTTATTTGTTTAATAGAACACAAATACGTTTTTGGTAAAGGAATTTATACTAACAGAGTACCTAACATGAAGAGGATAAATGTTTGTATGAATTGTGATTGTTGAATATTGAAACATTTCCAGAACTCAGGAGGAAAAGAGAGAAAAAAAAAGCAAACATAACTACTATAACCAGAATATATACTCTCTTGCATTCTCTGGTAATGCATTTATGTACATTGTGAAAATACTAAAGGATACAATAAACATACTACGAAATGATCCCTAATACTAGATCCCAGCTTTATTAAAATTTCTCTAATATCTGTGAGTAAGAGTAGAACTAAAATAGCAAAGTAAATTTGCAAGCAGTTCTGTTTCTCTTGAGTGATGAGTTAGCTCTTGTTTTGAGAAAAGAATGTAAAGAGCATCTTTATATTATCAAATAAAGAATTACCCATAGGTAGTCCTTGAGCAAGACCTAAGTATAGTAAAAGATACTTTTATTTAAGTGAAAAAATAGCTTTTTTTTTTTTTTTTTTAGTCCTGCAAATTTAGTGGACATTGCAGGCAATGTATGTCTCATTATATTATGTTTCCATTAAATAAATATTTACCTTAACTTATAAAAATACTAGAGGCCCAGGGAATGGATTCATACACTGGTGGGGGGTGTGGCCTGCAGGGCCTGGCCCTCTGTGGGAGCACCACTCATCCTTGTCAGCCGAGTGGCTGTGGACCCGCCCGCTGAGCAGCTGCTCCCACTGTGGGAGCGCTGCTCATCCCAGTCAACCGAGCAGCCCTACCACTGTGGGAGCGCACTGATCACCAGGGGGCAGCTCTGGAGTTGAGTGTCTTCCCCTGGTGGTCAGTGCATGTCACAGCAACTGGTCTACAGGTTGTCCTGGTGGTTCTGCCATTCCATTGCTGGGCTTTTATATATATATATATATTTCTTAGTGAGGAATTAAAAGTTTTTCCATTTTTTTGCATTGCTTAAATATTTTATATGAAATACATATTATTTTAATTTTTTAATTGAAATAAGTCATTATTACAAGAACTTTATTAAAGTCATTATTATAAACAATACCAAAGATCACAAAATGACCAAACATTTTGACACTAAAATACAATCTTCATATAGTTTTTAACCTCAAAAGTCCTCCACCTAGAGTTAGCTTTGCTATATAGAAAAAAGAATGAGAAGAAGAAAAAAAGAATGAAACAAAGAAAGGGGGGAAACTTAAATAAATAAATACATTTAAAAAATTAACTTTGTATTATAATGCTAGAGAATGAAACATCATCATCATTTATTGGTATTAAAGAGTAAACCAGTATCAAAATAAATGTCAGGTTATATTAAATACCCTTATTTTCAAATATTTTAATAACCCCCAACAGAGAGATTTAGATGTAGAAAATATTATAATGGGATATAGTTCAAGCAGCAGGTGCTAATACTTAGGAATAAGAAAAATGAATAGTGTCATTAATGTTGCTTCTGGGTACAGTTTTCTTTTATAAGATAATTGAAATTTTAAGTAAGGCCTTTTATCAGAAGCATTGAAACACACACACACACACACACATACACACACATACATATATACAAAAACCGTGGTAAGACAGAACAATTACAAAACACACAAAAGGACAAGTTATGAGCCAAAGTAAAGTTCATGTATTCTAGGCTTTATCAGTCATGCATCTGAATCTCAATTAATTTATCTGTAAAATAGAATACCATTGAGAAACTTCCTCATAGGGTGCTTAAGGCAATAAATAAAATATATATTTGAAGCTGCTTTCTAACATAAACTATTACATATATTTCCAAAAAATGCTAGAAGTTAAAATGGGACAAATAGAATTTATGAAATAAAAAGAATTCTTTTATGAACTAGGCACATCAGTCCAATACCACATGTTGATTAAAAAATTATATTTACCTTTAATAATCCTAAAAGCCTGGGGAGTGCCCTGACCGGTTTTGCTCAGTGGATAGAGCGTCGGCCTGCGTACTGAAGGGTCCCAGGGTCAATTCCGGTCGAGAGCACGTATCTTGGTTGCAGGCACATTCCCAGTGGGAGGTACGCAGGGGGCAGCTGATCGATGTTTCTCTCTCATCGATGTTTCTAACTCTCTATCCTTCTCCCTTCCTCTCTGTAAAAAATCAATAAAATATTTTTTTAAAAAATGCCTGGGTAGTGTCATGCTCTCACACGTTGTCACAAGATGGCAGCCACAAGATGACTGCCACAAGATGGCTGAGTGCACAGCAGAGGCGGGGCCTGGTGGCTGCTCCACACAGTGAGGCCTGGGGGTCCTGCAGCTTTGTGCAGTGTGGAGGAGTCAGGTCCTGGTGGAGGAGGTGAGTTACAGCAGGGGAGGGCAGTTGGGGGCAC